GACCATAAAAAATTTGATTTGGTATTTTAAAATTTAAAAAAAAAAATTAATTTAGAGGATGATATGTGATAAATCTATCTAAATCTTGTATACATCACGTTTTACAGTTAAAGCAATTTAAATATGGAGATTATTCTTATTTCAAATATCTGATTTAAACGAAGACCATAAAAATTTTAATCGTTTCAAAATTAATTAGACCCGTGTATTATTTTTCTTTATAAATAATGGTCAAACAAAACAATTGAATACCCATGACTTTATTCTTTTAATTGAAACTGCCCGATTTGATAGTTAGAAAAAATGTTTTCAAAAGAAATAAACAAATAATATTTTTTTTTTTATTATTTTTTTTATAACTTTACCCTTAAATTAACCGTAATTTTGTTTAAATAAAATTTGCTAATCAAAACATATGTATTAGCCGATTTTATAGAAAAAAAAATTCGATATGTTGAGAATACAAAAGCATATTTTTATGGTTAGAAAAAATAACACATAATTTCTTTTATTATTAAATCAGTCGTAATTTTTTATTTAAAAAAATTGCCAAGCAAAGCAATTGTATTAGCCGACTATCTGGTTTTAAATTTGGAGAATATAATTGGCCGATGTTTAATTGAATTAGCAGTCGTGACGTACATTTTTATTCAAATTTAAAAATAGCTTATTGTAACCAATAACCAAATTTAATTGATGCAGCCCGTGCATTATTAGTTTTCGATATGCACATCGTGTCAAACCATCACAAATATTCAATAGATCAAATTTAAATAGCAGCCCACTTTTTTTAAAATAAAAAAATAACAAATTGCTCATTTTAAAGACAACATTTAATGTTGTCCATTTTTTAGTAAAAAATATATTAAAAATATACTATAAATGACATGTAATTAATGTTGATCAGTTTTGACCAAATATTGACTTACTATTTTTTATAAATGTTATTTCTTATTATATATATAGATATAGATATAGATATAGATTATGTTTCGACAATGATGGATCATTAAACGTGGTAATTAAGTTGGAATAAGAAGTTTATTCGAACGCATATTTTGTCTGTGGCCTAATTATTAGCTGTTGATCGACTCTTTATGCATTTGTAACAGAAATACGTAGTTACACGATAAATCATAATACAATTTATTTATAATTGTTTTAGAAAATAACATTATATTAATATAATAGTATGCGTATTTGTTGAAAATGTATATTTGCCTAAAAGTGTTAGACTTGTAGGGAGGATAAGCAGTAAGCTTACTTCAAATTGTGTTTGATTACCATTCACATAATTTATGTTCCATATATTTAAGAGATCCATAAACTATTAATAATGTTTTATTTCTTAAAAAAGCCATTTTCACTTTTTTAGTATAAACCATGAAAAAATATACTTACTTTATACGCATTTGTAAAATATGTATATCTTGAGATGAAATATCGGTGATTATGCCAACTCAGGGCATGGCCATGTGAATTGTATCTTTGTGCTAAATGGATATATAATAGACCCAAGTGGGTGAACGAAGACACGAGAATTGATGATGTTAGACAAAAAAAAATAAAAAATAAAATCTATGCAATTAAAATATTTTGTTTGTATATATATTTAGTAATTGTCTTGTCATGCATCTATACCTAATTCTTACAACCTTATTAAAAATGACTAACTCACGTACACACAATTATTGAACTTGTACTATATATCAAGAAAAATGAAGGAAGAAAATAAAAAATACGTGTCCATGTTTACTACTGATTTATCATATTTAATAATTTGAAGTGTGAATGGTACCATCAAAGGTTGCATCACTAGAGTACATTAATTTGGATCATATGCACAATACAGGTAATTTATATAACAAAATAAAAATAAAAAAATAAGTGGACACAAATAAAAGAAAAAAAAATCTGGACCAAAATAAAAAATTAGTATTTTCAGAATACGTTTTTTTTATAAATTTCATTGAAAAATGTATTCTGAAAATACGTTTTTCAAGGTAAATTACATGAAAAAATGTATTAAGATAATACGTGCTTTTGATTGATTTCCACAACTTTTTTTTTTTTTTTTTTT